CATAGCGACCCTACTAGGGTTTCCAATGCTGAAAATCTTTGTGGGAGAAGAAAGCCTCATCTTTATCCCACGGAGCAACTTGTGGGCTCAAACCATCAAGTCCAGTGCTTATCCTACAGAGTCATTGCACTTCCAGCTTATCCTACAGGACAGCACACTCCCATATACGCACACACACACTCTCTCTATATGTTGTTGTTATTGTTGTTAAGTACTGTGGATTTGGTTCCAACTCATAGTGACCCTGCATAGGGTTCCTGAGGTTGCAAATCTTTATGAGAGCAGAAAGCCTCATCTTTCTCCATAGAAACAGCTGGTAGTTTCGCACTGCCGACCTTAAGGTTATGCGATTCGTAACCACTATGTTATTTTTAAATGCTGTCAAGTTGGTTCCGACTCATAGATCTTGTATAGGGTTGCCGAGGAGCGGCTGGTGAGCTTGAACCATCAACCTTGCAGTTCAAACGACTTTGCAGTCTGGTGCATTAACCCACAGCGCTACACCAGGGCTCCAAGCAAGTTTGTATCATTTCCATATTGCAGGTTATAAAGGACTCATTCTCCAATCCTCATGCAACTTTCTTGATATAACCCAGTTCTCAGATTATTTGCTAAGCATACAGCTTGAGTAAGTATGGTGAAAGGATGCATACTTTTCCTGATTTTAAATCATTCATTAACCCCCCTTTTCTGTTTGATCTATGTACAAGTTTCTCATGAGCAAGACTGAGTGTTCTGGAATAACCATTCTTCTCAATGTTATCCGTAGTTTATTATGACCCACACTGTCAAATGTCTTTGCATAGTCAATAAAGCACAAGTAAACATCATTCTGGTATTTTCTGATTTCAGTCAACATCTATCTGGTGTTACCAGTGATGTGTCCTCTTCTGATACGGGCTTGAATTTCTGGTGTTTTCTGTTGATGTACAGCTGCAATGATTTTTTAATTATCTTGAACAAAATTTAGCTAGCATGTGATGATAATGATTTTGTTCCATTATTTTTACATTCTGTTGAGTCATCTTTCTTTGGCATGGGCACAAATATGGGTCTCTTCTAATCAGTTGGCCAGGTCTCTGTCTTCCAAATTTCCTGACATAGACAAGTGCTGTTGCATCAGTTTGTTGAAACATTTCTATTTGTATTCCATCAATTCCTGGAGACTTCTTTTTGCCAATACCTTCAGTGCAGTCTGAACGACCTCTTTCAGTACCATTGTTCTTGATCACATGCTACCTCTTGATATGGTTGAACAGCAACCAGTTATTTTTAATACAGTTATTCTGTATTCCTTCCTTCTTTTGATGCTTCTGAATCATTGAACATTTTGTCCATTGTTGTTGTTAGTGTCAACTCATAGTGACCCTATGCACAATAGAACTAAACACTGCTTGGCAATCTGCTCATTATTCTTGACAATGTTTCAATCTATCTTATTGAGTGTCTTCTTTTTTGCTGACCCTCCATTTTTCTAAGCATATATTTTTTTTTCTATAGGGACTGGTTCCTCATTATAACATGTTCAAAGTACAAGAATCAAAGTATTGCAATTCTCATCTCTAAGGAACATTCTGGCTGTACTTCTTCTAAGACAAATTTGTTTGTTCTTCTGGCAATCCATGGTACTTTCAATATGCTCCATCAAAACCATAGTTCAAATGCATCAATCCTTCTTCTGTCTTACTTATTCACTATTCAATTTTCACATTCATCTGAGGCAAATTAAAATACAGTAGCTTAGGTCGGGTGTACTTTACTCTTCAAACGGATATATTTTCTTTAACTTACAGACTAAGACAGACTAGGAAGAAGGAGAGACAGGCTACTTCTTAAGATTTAGCCACTGAGAACCTTATGAATAGCAGCACAACACTGTTAGATAGATATGGGGCCAGAAGATAAGCCCCTAAGTTTGGAAGACACTCAAAATAAGACTGGCGAAGAGATGCCTCCTCAAAGTAGTGGAGTAAAAGTTTCTGAACCTTTTTTCTTAACTGATACGTAACAACTCAAAATGTGAAGCAACAGCTGCAAACATCCATTAGCATTGGTGGTGGTGGTGGTGGTGGTGGTAGTGTGCTGTGGAGTCAGTTCTGTCTCACAGTGGCCCTGTATATGTTTCCGAGACTACATTTTTATTGGAGCATAAAGCTTCATCTTTCTTTCACGGAACAGCTGATACTTTCAAACTGCTGGACTTAAGGATAGCAGTCCGACTCACAACCACTATGCTACCAAATTTATTCCATTAATATTAGGAACATGGCATGTGTGAAGTATGAATCTAGAAAAACTGGAAGTAGTAAAAAATGAAATGAAATGCATAAATACCATTATTATTATTATCATTAATACCATTATTATTCCAATATATGCATCAACCAGCTGCTTCTTGGAAACTCTATATAGGCTCCCTATGAGTAGGAACAGACTTGACGGTACTTAAAAACAATACTAAGGCTAGTGATGAAGCAATTGAAAAATTCTACCAACTTTTTATGTCTGAAATTGACCAAATATACAATCAATATGAACTGATAATTACTAGTTGATGGAATGCAAAAATTGGAATGAAAGAGGAAGGATCAGTAATTGAAAAATATGGACTTGGTGATAGAAATGATTCTAGATATCTCATGATAATTTGGAAGAACAAAGGCTTATTCATTGCAAATACCTTTTTAAACAGCATAAAAGATGACTGTACACATGAACCTCACCAGATGATATCAAATTGATGACATCTATAGGAAAAGATAGTGGAAAAGCTCAATATCGCCATTTAAAACAAGGCCAGGAGCTGACTTTGTAAACAATTTCATGAAAGTGAAAATATGGCCTTGAATATATCCCACCTGAATTTAGGACAATCTGAAGAAAAGATCTGATGCATCAGACACTAATTACTGAAGACCAGAAGAGTCATGGAACAGCATTAAGAACATTATATAGCACAGAAAGAAAAGACCAGAGCAGATGTCAGAAAAGACTTTGAAACTTGCTCTTGAAGTAAAGAAGCTAAAAGCAAATGGAAGAAATAAGGAGGTAAAAACATATGTGCTCTTGTACATTTTAAAAAGGTCTTATGCAGATTTGCCCAATGCAATGCATCATTTGATTTCTTGACTGCTGCTTTCATGAATGTTGATGGTTAATCTGAGCAAAATGAAGTTTTTGACAACTTCATTTTTTTTTCTCCATTTATCATGATGTTATTTATTTAGAATTTTTGTGTTTGTTTAACTCATTTGTCAGAGTCCTGGTGCGGCACTATAGGAGAATGCACTGGACCGAAAGATTAGTTTGAACTGCAAGGTCAGCAGTTGAAACCCTCAGAAATCCTAGACAGGGTTACTATGAGTGGAACTGACTCAATGGCACTTAGCAACAACACAACTCCTTTATCTGCCTTATGAGCGCTATGCTGGAATAATTATAGTATTATAAATAATTCATGGATGAATGCTCTGTACAAACCTCCATTTTTATGTAGCTTTTAAAGCTCCTATTTAGTGCAGTAAAGAATTAGTAGGAGCTTTAAGTAATTTCTTAGTCAAGTGATTTCTAAGGCGATTGCTCTCTCTAATAGGCCCTGTGAAATCAGCTCCATGAAATGACATGGAAAGTAACAAAGGTTAATGCAGGAAATCCACAACAAACCACTGGAGAAACTCAATTCCATTTTTCTTAATGTCCTTAGTCGTGGGCAATGAACAATCATGTCAGTGAATTGTAAAGATTCAGAGGATCAAAACATTCACAAACAATTTGACCTGAACTTCACAAATGAATTAATCAATCCAGCTGTCAACCTTGCTTTGCAAACAACAGAATCGATTTGCTTTCATCTAATTTTTTTCCCAAATAGAATCAGTAACCAGTCACCATTTTGCATTTCAAGTTTTAACTTCTTTGTCTTTCCTATTGTGTATGTGTGTGTGTGTGTGTGTGTGTTTCCAAAAGATCAATTTTCTACACATGTCTACAGTGCATCTTTCAGTCAAGAACTAACATAAATTTACCTGTTGCATCAATCATTCCTAGATCAGATCACATAGCAATTCTACAGTGTATTCATAGTCCTATTTTTCATATTAAGATATGTGAGACAAAGAAGAAAAATAGCTCTTCCTTTTGACTCAGCTCCTTTCTGGTCCACAGTATCTCCTCCCAGACAAAGACTGAAACTGAGATAGAAAAAAAAAAATAACTAAAATTCTTCCTTTGAGCTTCTAAAATCCAAGGTCCAATCATTTAACACTAATAAGGAATTTTCAGAGTTAATTTTGATTCTGTGTTTTTTTGTACTACCTAACATCCTAACTAACTAATTCTACTTTAATATGTACCTCTTCTAAGCAGGTAGAATACTGTGTTTAAAACCTTCTGTGGTAGGAATGAGATTTTTTGGAGAGTTTAGACCAATATGCTTTTATCCAATAACTCCTAGTCTTTAGTTTTTATACAACTTCCTTAACAAGAAGCAAGCCAGCAATATTCACACGATAGAGATTCTCATACATTTTAGAAAGAATACTCAGTTCTATCCCTCAAATTAATCCTTAAAATGCAATTCATTAGAAGTAGAATTGACAATTCAAATTAATTTTTTAAACTTGTAATGAGGAAAAAACTACATGGAGTTGTAAGGAATGCATTTGCTTAACCTAGGAAAAGTTTTTGTCTTTTAATTTAATTTCATTTTTTTCTAAATTAAAAGCAATTGCTCTCAAGATTCTTCAGGGGCTCATTAAAGTGTTGTGTTGTTGCTGGATGTTGTAGAATTGGTGCCACCTCACAGCCACCATAGGTATAACAGAAGGGAACACTGCAAGGTCCTGAATCATTCTCACAATGTTACTGTACTTGAGTCCATTGTTGCAGCCACTGTGTCGGTCCTCCTCTTTAAGGACCTTCCTTTTTTTTTTGCTGACCCTCTATTTTACCAAGCATCATATCCTTCACCAGGGACTGGTTCCTCCAAGGTTATAGCCAAGAACACCTATGGGACAGTTCTACTTTGTAACATATGAGGTTGCCATGACCCAAAATTAACTGGATAGAAGGGTTTTAATTTGGTATTCATTAGTACCCTGGTGGCATAGTGGGGTTAAGCACTGAGCTGCTAACTCAAGAGTCAGCAGTTCGACCCTACCAACTGCTCCATGGAGAAAGATAAGGCAGTCTGCTTCTGTAAAGATTTACAGTGGTGGAAACCATATGGAGGAGTTCTGTTCTGTCTTATAGCATCCCTAGGAGTTGGAATCAATTCAATGGCAGTGGGTTTGGCATTTGGTTTGGTTTGATTTATTAGGACTTTTCTAAGAGCTGGTTGGATAGTTTGGTTACAATGCCAAATATATTAGCTTAAAGTTTTCACCTCTTTAGCCTGCAAACTTTTAAGTAATTAGCGTAATGGTTGCGAATTGGGCTGTGAACCGCAAGGTCAGCAGTTCAAAACTACCAGCTGTTCCGCAGGAGAAAGATGAGGCTTTCTGCTCCTGTAAAGATTTACAGCCTCGGAAACCCTGTGCAGGGTCACTATGAGTTGGAACCGACTCCACGGTATTTAACAACAACAATTGTCTACATGGAATGTAACACAGCCATTAATAGATATGATAAAATTAGTCTATGCACGAGTCTGAGAAGTAAATAAGATGCATGCATGTTTTAAAAGATAAAACAAAGTAGAATTTAAAGGTCAGACCTAGTAAAAAGTAATTATATTAGTGATTAAATCAAGGCTCTAATCTTATCACAGTCTAATTGAACTAAGACTAGCTGTGTATACAATATGGAAAAACTCAAGAAAAAAACCACAATGTTTTGTCTTGTAGATTTACAGTGTCAAAAAGATCTACATAGTCCTAGAGTGTTTTTGCTCAAAATTCTAGAGGCATTTTCAGCCAGCATTTGCAGAATGACTATTTGCCAGGCCGTTTTACATATTCAAAGAAGAGCTGTATGCTTAAGTAACTGGTCAACAGACCTACTGGTATTTTGTCTCCCTAGAGACAACAAAAAGGATAATAAATTAATAAATAAATAATGCTAAATTCACTCACTCTCTTTATATGTATATAGAATATGCTTGTGCTTTGTGATAAAAAACATAAACAAAAATAAAAACAAAACTTACTTATGGAATAGAAATCAATAAGCAGTTTAATTAAGTGACTACTAAATGGACAGTGAAAAAAAATGCACCTAGCTAATATCTTATAAGTTATTATACAAAAAAAAAAAAAAATGTATTTGAGGCCAAATTGAGATAGAATTCTACACCTTCAATACTATAACTGGTTATTAAGGACATTTTTTTTTAAGGCTGTTCTATAAACAAATAATACAGAAAAACATGACACATGCTTAAATTTCTTTTAGTGTGCAGTAGAGTCAGTTCTCTGTGGTAGAATAAGCGCCGCTCCTCGGAAACCTGATATAGGGACATGAGTCTGGACTGACTTCATCGTGTTCTGCCTCAATTACCCAGATGACCACTCAAGACTCTCAGGATCGACAAGGAAGCCTTTATTAGCTGGCCAGCGACTACAGCCTCCCTAAAAGTGGAAAAACTGCAACCCCGACCCAGTTTTTCAGAGTATTTATAATTTCTTGAAAATAAGTGTGATTCAGCAAATGGAATCTAGGTACGTTTTTTGAGTGTTAGATCCAAGAGTCTAACACTCTCAGAGTCTAACATCTCAGAGGCTCAGAGCAGAATTCCAAAATGGTGACTGTGGGAAAACTTAGTCCTGTAGGTATGATGTGCTAAAACAAAGCAATATTAAAATCAGGAATAACTCCTAAGATCTAGGTTTCTGGGCTCCACTAAATCCTGGGCCTCTCTGACCATCTCTCTTCTGTGGAAACCATGTGTTGGAGAGAAGAAATAGCTGTCTAGTTGAAATGAGCACATGTTATCAAGTCATAAGGATCTACCCTGACCAATCATCTCTTCTTCAAACTCACTGATCATCTGCCCTGTACCAAGCATGGTCTGTTGTTGTTGTTAAGTATTAACAAGTCGATTCCGATTCAAAGCAACCCTGTATAGGGCTGCCAAGTAGTGACCGGTGGGTTTGAACTGCCAATCTTGTGGTTAGCAGTCCAGTGCTTATCTTACAGTGCTGCACAGTGGGGTAGGAAATATAGTTGAAAATGAAAGTAGAGTTGGAAACAAAAAGTAGAAAAGGGACATCCATTCTACTGATTCAAAAGTTATAGGAGTTTGGAACAGGGTCTGGCAGCAGCAAAAAATCTGTGGGCTAGCGAAAATCTGTCCATATGCCAAACCCAAATCCATAACTTTTTATGTGCTCAGTTGTTGTTTCTAGGTTCTAAGGGACTATTTCCACTTGGAAAAGGTAAGTAATAATTCATAGCAGTATTTGACATAGTCACTATTTTTTTTAAATTGAGCAATTTAGATAGCAACTGAAAACCAACTTGTCTAAAAAGGTATACATAAATGTTTCCTTGGGTGTTTAACTACCAGTGAGAAAACAGATTATTTTTAATAAACTGGTATCATGAAACTGAGGGAAATGAAACAAATTTATTTACTACAAAAATCTCAGTTGGACAACCCACAGGCTGTATATCCTTCGGCAAGATACCTAACCTCTCTGTTCTATCACTTTTCTTGTCTTCATTTCCTTAATCCCTTCATTAACTGAAATTATTTCTTTTTTGTGTGGTTGTTAAATGCTATTAAGATGATTTTAACTCACAGCGACCCTGTATAGGGTTTCTGAGGGGCAACAGGTGCATTTGAACTGCCGACCTTGCAGTTAGCAGTCCAGTGCACCAGTGTCACACCAGGGCCTGAAATTATATATAGAAAGCAACTCGATGGCACTTAACAACAACAACATATATAGTTTGAATTGCCGACCTTCTGTTTACCAGTTCAGTGTTTATCCTACAATGCCACATCAGGGCTCATGTATTCTTAAATATGGTTTGTTATTATGTGCCGTTAAGTCGGTTTTGACTCATAGTAATGCTGGATTGAGTTCCCAAGGCTATAAATCTTTATGGGAGCAGAAAGGTTTATCTCTCTTCCACACAGCGGCTGCTGGATTCAAACTGATGACCTTTGGGCTAGTAATTTACTAAGCCGCCGGTGCTTACATGTATACGTAAATATTCAGATAGATGCATTTAAACTTGTATATGCTTATTTATATGAAGTATTCAGATTAATATATGATGAAGCCCAGGTATGGTGCAATAGGATAAGCACTGGACCACAAGGTCAGTTTGAAGTGCAAGGTTAGCAGTTCAAATTCACCAGCCACTCCTCAGAAATCCTATACAGGAATACTATGATTTGGAACCGTAAGAGTAAATCTAAAATAAATGAACAACAACAATAGTAAATTTAAAATAAATATGCTTAATCACACTATTTTATTCTTAAATGCATCAAATTAGATATTAGTATTATGTACAGTCCTGGTGAGGCACAGTGGGGATATAGCACTGGACTGCAAGGTTGGTTTGAGCCATGAGATGCTCTTTGAAAACCCTACACAAGGTCACTATGAGTTGGCACTGCCTGGAAGGCACTTAACAACAACATTAAGTGGCACTGTAGGACAAGCTCAGGACTGCTAACTTCAAGGTCGGTGGTTCAAACTCACCAGTGACTCTTTGGAAATACTATAAGAGGTTACTATAAGTTGGATCCTACTTGATGGCACTAAACAGCACCACCAACAATTATAAAGTAGAGAAGCTCTGATGGCACACAGGGTTAAGCATGAGGCTGGTAACTGAAATGTCAGCAGTTCACTCCCACCAGGTGCCTTGCAGTAGAAAGATGAGGTTACCTGCTCCCAGAAAGATTTACACTGTCAGACCCTTAGAGAACAGTTATCTGTCTTATAGTGTTACTGTGAGTTGCTGTTAGCTTGATGGAAGTGGGTTTCGTTTGAGTTTTATTATAAGTAATAATATATTTCATTTAGCTAGCACTGTTTTGCCTAGAAGATTAGCATGACTCACCCTATCCCAAGGAGTCCTGGTGGCACTGTAGGATAAACACTGGACTGCTTATCACAAGGTTGGCAGTTCAAGCTCACTAGGAACTCTGCAGGAGAAAGATGAGGCTGTCTGTTTCTGTAAACGTTTACAGAGTTGAATTCGACTCAATGGCAGTCGTTCTTTATCTTATTCCACATCAACTCCGTTTGTGAAGAAGGGCAAGGATTATTATCACCTTTTCTAAAAATAAAGGAACTGGGAGCAGTGCAATGAATTTCATATTGCCTTCCTGGCTCTGTGTATGTAGTTCTGGTTAAAATGATTTGCTAAATTACAATCTTGTTAAAAAAAAAAAAAAAAAAAAAAGGATCAATCTACTATACAAATAAAGTATGCAAAACCTTTGCAGGGATTGGTTGATTACTATGCAAACTAGTTGGCTGTGACTTTCCAAAGGAATTGGTCAGTTTTGGCATCCTGCTGGGTTTAAAAGAGCAAACCCAATCCCTCAGAGCATGAGGAGGAGGTTTTGGGTTGATTTTAATTCTCAACCAACCATTAAAGTTAGAGAACCTCTGAGGCCACCATATTACACTGCAGGACTTGACTTACTTGAGATCACCTAGTGAGTTTGTGACAGTTTTCACAGACTATTTCCAACACTAGCCAGTTGTCATAAAGTAATTGTGAGTCATGGCAACCCCATATATATCAACAGAGTGGAACTGTACTCCATAAGGTTTTCAATGACTGTTTTTTTTTTTAAATGAGAACACCAGGCCATATTTGCATATACATAGGGAACCAAGGCATCCTGAAACCATTTTCCAAGTTTTAATTTGTTGTTGTTAAGTGCTGTCGAGTCAGTTCTGACTTATAGCAATCCAGCAATCCTGTATAAGATTTAAGAAGAAGAGCTGATAAATTTGAGCTGCCAACCTTGATTATCCTATAGTGTTATACCAGGACTCTAAGTTATAAATATATAACAATAATTTTTAAGAAGAAATGGCAAGTA